GTGATGAGGAGTAATAATTAACCATCTGATATTTTCTACATAAACCCCAGGTGTAGGGGGTTTTGCATAGAAATGTTTAGATACCAACTTTTATGACAATGTGTCAATGTGTCTTCTAAAGGCACTACGCTACAATAGGATTGTGCCTCCACAATATTGTATTTTGCTTTCTGTTATGTTGTTATTTTAGTATGGAAATAAATGTAATATTGAAATGAATTGAATTGAATTGCATGACACAAAATAACCACAATAATATTGTTGACACGCTTAGGTTAACTTTCCGTACTCAGCATCAACTCAACCTTTATTTTCCCCGAAATGATTGCACGAGCTGGTCCTTTTCATGATCGGTGTATTTGTATAAATCACATACTTTTGATGTCAAGAAATCAGGAGTGAACTTTTTATTGGTTATAAAACACTTACAAAAAAAGTCAGGGATTGTGAGCAATGAATGAAACGTTGTTTCTGATTGGGCAAAAAGTAACTCGCGTCGTCTATAGTATCATCAGACAGAAACGTGTCCTTTTTTGCGGGCAATAAATCATTCCACCAGTAAGGCCAAACAAAAGAAGTCTCCGGTTTCAAGTATGGAGCCTGTCCCAAAAGTGGTGCGTCGACGCGGGTTTTCCCCCCTCCTTTTCACTTCTTCAAATGTCGGTTGATGTTGCAGATGACTCTTCGATCCCCTTAAAACTTTCCAGAATATCCTTCAGAGTGGAGCTTGAGGTGACCTCAGTAAGGCCATAAGGCTTGAGAATTCTGCACCCACGATCTCGTCCGACATGAACATTCTTCAGGAAATTTGGATAGTCGGGAAAAAATCTGAGCCTAAAACGGTAACGTCAGACCACATACAGCGACATCGTGCATGAGCTGCCACGCTGATCATTAGCCTGCTCCCTCACATATTGCGCTAATCAAAGGGCGTTTACAGGTTCCAGATACACGACCATCGCTCCCTCAGTCTGGCTTCCAGACCACAATAAAATTACAAAATGACAACACCGTCTCAAATGGTGCCCGACTAAATTTAGTGCAAAATACATGGGAGCCCAGAGAGGCCACATAAAGCTTATACTCGATCGTAACCCCATCTAACAACACGTTAAAATTGTGCAGCAGCACGATTTAGGTCAAACCAGGGAGTTTAGTTTCACAATATTGAAAAGTGGTAAACGTTTAGAATTGAAACACATTCCTAAACGTATTAAACTATAAACACGTTTCTGATGTGTTTAAATGCTAAACACTGTTTTTACAGTGTAACCGTTAGTTTGGTAATTTAGAGAAAGAGAGAGGGGGAGGTTGAGCAATAGTCAAGCTGGTGAGTTTTGTTTATTTACTCTTTTGGGGGACTATTTTTAGCCAAGAATTGAATTAAGAGGCTAATCAAATTAATCGGGGAGTTTGTAGACAGCCTATTAAAAAGATCGAGAACTTTTTTAATGTATCATATCAATTGAAAACACAGATGGAATGTATGCATGAGCGTAGACTTGACCCAAGTTGGGATTCTGTATGGTCCGTGTTCCGGGTGCGATATGTTTTATTACACAACTATCTATGGATCGAGAACCTGCACTGACATTGATGACATCACACACGTTGACGCCGCTGTCGTAATTATGAAAATCGGACTCGTATGAAAATCGGACTCTTTTCCCCTTTTATTGGTTAAACCCTCTCACGTGCCCGATCCCTCTCCTAATTATCTATGCATGAGCATGCACAATACCACCAATGAGTCCGTATTTCATAAAACCGCGGAACGGCAACCAGATGAGGGCGCCCTATATAAGCTAAGGCATTGATCTCCATTACTAATGAGATCAACCTCGTTCCCATGGGTACGAGATCTTGCTGCGCCATGTTGTTTCCCATCATGTCATGGAGTCGAGGCTGTAATGAGATCAATGAGCCAGGGCCATTAATATTACGCGTATGGATTGAATTCTGAACAAAGCAAAGTACGCGTACGGTTTAAACACAGCAGAGTACTAAGTCCGACTTGGGTCAAGTCTACGCTGTTCCAAGCGGACGATTATGGGCACTATGGGACAATAGCGGTCATGTAGTTGCTAAGGCAAAGCGTCTGCCGTTGTTAAACAAAGCTAATCCGATTACGTACTTGGACGCTATAGCAGAGCAGTGAAATTCATGCACCACAAAAAAAATTGGCCTTTTGAACGTTGTGTTTCTATGCACAATATGATTGAAAATTAAATTATAACGGAAGAAGAAATTCTAAACTTCATGTCAGTGAAATAATCGCCGTCATCAATGCCGGAATCTCAATACTGGTTACTGTCAAAGCTGACCTTCAAGTCTGGAAGAAATCGTTCGAAAACTTCTCCAAATCTCTGTATTTATATCAATTTCTAGGGATTTCTCAAAATTGTTTTTCAGAGTACTTGAACCCTTATATCATCTAAGTATCTTCCGAATTTCAGCTTAATCTGTTGTTGCAAACGCTAGTGTTACACTTTCAACTATCTCCATGGAAAATTTCGACGATGATTTCTGCCACCAAGTCACATGCATTGTTCAGCAAAGCACCTTAGGCGCTACGGTTGACCGATTTCAGCCAAGCCACACAATATCATATTGTAGATTAGCATATTCATTAGCGTCACTCGGCGTGTTTTGGCGTGGGTCTCGGTATCGACCAATGAAAGCCGGCAAAAAGGTTGATATTTATCAATTAATAACTCGTGAAGGAGGATTTTCTCAATTTTTTTACTGCACACTATAATGGATAGGAACCCTGAAGGTTGCATGTAGATATGGACTTCCAAACGGGAGAAATTAATTTTCAAAGATTTCGCCCGCCAACGTGAACATTGTGTGTGCACATGTAGTTTCATTCAAAATGAAGTGTTACGTAACCTTTAGAAATCGCCCTTCGCAACCGTATGACTGCGTCTATTTCGTAGCAAAACGTTTCTTATGTCACATTTTTGTGCGCAGTAATTCCAGCAGTTAAATTGTTTTCCTGGCAGACGTTCAAGGCAAAGTTATTTGCGTCTCCATTTTCCACCATACAGTATGCACAGTTGGGCTTCAGCTAGTGACGTCATGTTTTTTTTTCTAGAAGTATTACTGTAAGCGCAATAATTTTATTCAAATGCAAATATTGCCGTGAAGGCAGATTCGGTAAGCGTGAAATAGGATATGTCTTTTTATCGCGTGCACCAAAGAAAGCCAGACAAAAGAGGTCAGTCCCAAGGCACGGCTTCCATTAATCAGTCGCTGGTTGATTTTCATGTTCTGTAGTGTTGAAGTGAAAAAATCGGAGAATGATTTTTATTTGCTCAACAAATTGCGAACCACTGCTAAACTTGAAAGAAAAAAAAAACACACAGCCAAACCGGTCGCGGTCATGCATGATCGCACTAGACATGATTGGAATCCGAAGAGGTGAGACCCAAGCAGGTATATTGGCACTCATGACTTTGCTGTTAGGAATGCTGGTCTACAAAAAAAAAACTTGCCTCCCAGAAATAGGTGTGAAAATTGGGTTACCGAGCAATATTATATAGGTCTAGTTATCGGCTATACGCCCATAGCGCTACAACAGACAGATACGTATATGATTATATTAAACCCTACCGACGGAGCCAGTCTGTGAGTTTCTCACACCACAATTAGCAAGGTGTAATACGGTTAGACGACTGATTATCCAACTTGGATCTTGGATGCTTACAGACGCTGGCTTCATGAACTTGGACTCCAAAAAGATGAGCAGAAATTGGGCGGACCAGAAATGAATCACACATAGGACAACATTGGACTGTAGTAAGGCCGAGACGCAGGTTAGTGATGGTGTACGGGGAGGGCAGTAGTTTTTGGCGGGCATACATGAAGACATTTCATTTAGTTTGAAATAGTGAAAGACCAGACTATTTTGTGTCAGGAAAGTTTAAACTTAAGATAACGAACATTGAATTTAAGAAAAGAGCAGACTTAAGCTTATGCATAATCAGTCCGATATTACTGTGTTGGATTAATTCTGTGTCAGACAACGAAGATATCTGGAAGCTATTTTGGTGGGATGTTCAGCCGGATAGTAACATGGACATTATTGACTAACCGACTCACTGACTGAGTGACCGTCTAACCGACATTGTTACTGAGTAACCTTTTTTTAGCTGAGAGATAATGTAATACTTGACATGGAATTCGACGCGGCAGAAGTCAAAAAAATTGTTTAACAGATTTTATGACATCTCACAGACTCTGCTCTTGATTGGCCGAGATCTCGTCACCATGGTATACTAATATTGTCAGTGCAACAACGTATATACCGCGCCCCAACGCACATACCTGCCTGATGACATATTCAGGCAGCGAATGCAGAGCTCGAGCGCTTTTTGGCCGCTGACCGATATAGCGCAGCGTGATTTTCCGCATGGCGGAAGCCGGGCCGGTGCCTCATGTGGACGGCCCAACGTGGCCGCCCGTGCACGGTGACATCATTTTTGCCGGCGCGCGGTTCGCACCGTTCGCCGTTTTGGAACGGTCTACTTTTTCATCCTTTTATTTTATTTACGAACCAAACTATGCATTTCTGTTTTATTTTTGTATTCTTCTACTATAATTTCAGATTAAAAGGTTTTTTCCAGCACACACAGGTCGTCAGGCCGACCATAATGGTAGGCCTACATGTACATGTACGCACGCACGGTAATTGTTCGACAGAAATAAAACCTACATAAGAAACGCAAACCAATTCACAATAACTCGTCAACCCCATAATAATTTGGGTTTGATCATCAGAAAGACTTTTATCAAATAAGCGAGTCGTTATAAAACTAATCGATTGCTTTAACTCGTGACACAGTAAAAATGGCCTCCCCCAGTGATCAGTGGAACGTTCTATTTTCACTCTGCGTCATCTCGGCAAACCAGAGCAACTCCATGGATCACGTGGGGAGGCTAGTTTCACTGCACAATAATAGGAGCAGTCAGTATTTCTATACTATTTTGTCCAGAATTATCCAGATGGATGCCCATTTTATTTGGATTGTTTTCATGGTAACGTCCGGTTGGTTGAGGGACAGTCAAGCTGGTAAGTTATATTTCATTTCTCTTTTTGAGGACTATTGTAGCCAAGAATTGTTTTCAAAAGAATTAAGAGGCTAATCAAATTAATGGGGGAGTTTTGACTACTGTTGAAAAAGGTCGATAACGCTCGTCTTTTTTCTTTAATGTATCAATATGGAAAACACATCAGATCAATTTTCTTGAGGGACTGTGTGCATGGGCGTCACAGGGTTTTTACGAAAGGGTACTTTGTGTATACACTTACAAAATGAGGAACATAACGGTACCCTACAAATCCGTCGTCGTTCGACCGTGCCCGACAAGGAAAAGTCTAAAGAAGAGAGGTGGGAGAGAACAATGCAAGTATCCCATGCAAGTATCCCATTGCGTTCCATGGAAACGCAAAAATAGAACATCATCGAACTTTTATCTCCTTGATGGTATTGCGCATGTCTTTTTTACCCATGTGCCTAGAATAACTACTGCAGTAAGAACTCAAAAATGGTATAATATGGCAGGTAATGCACCTTGTACTTGTATTTTTTTTTTAAATAGATTTTTGTACCCCATCATCAGTTTCGACTTACGATTGCGTCTTTCCAGACGGATTTGAGAAACAGGCTCGCTTTGGTAAGTGTGTGTACATGTGATGTAAATGCACCTATACCGAATAACGAAAAATACTAAAAAGATATGCGGTACGCTCCAATTTTAATAACGATAAATAGGAATAAATTAAGTCCATGTTATTAACGATAGTAACTTTCACGTAATTTGTGTACTCTATTTTCACAAGTTATTGCTAATTTTAAATTTAATAGAAATACCACAAAAATGTAGCTGTCCACCACTGAGCATTCACCGATACGCATTGATGAATACTATACGATGAAAGAAAACTTGCAAAGCAAAACAGACAATAATCACCATTTTCATTCTCAGAAATAGGACTTGATTTATGTACAACACAAAATCAGACGGTGAAAGTAATGTTTCAGTCTTGACTCTCATTAAATCTCATTTGAATTTGAATTCCTGTGTGGTAATATCTGGTTCCCACCCAAATGAATAGCTTCAAAACATCTAGCATTCCATGGACAGCTGTAGAAATGTGTTCTTTTGCATAAGTTCTGATAGCAAAGATCAATTTCAGTAACGTTTTTAACAGATGAGTGAAAGAACGTGCTCGCTTAATACGTGCTTCATTGGTGTATCAAATTTGCATGCTTTTAAGGGTAAAATAATTAATCTCTGTCATTTTCTTTATTACCCATCCTGTACTTCTAGCCACTCCACGACTCTGCCTATAGCGTCGCTTATTTAAATACCCTTATTCCTTTGATAACTTACTCTCTAAAACTCAGGATATTCTACCAATATGCATAACACAGAAAGGTTGCCCTCTTTCGAGTGTATCGGATCCTGTTTTGGGGAAATATCGCGGGCGAGGGTATCAAAAGGGGAGGTGGATCACCCCAAGCACCCCCATCCGCCACTGAATTGGACCTTATACCCCTTCTATCTCAACAATGTTTAATTACTCCTTACAACGTCACTAAAATTCTAAATGTTGGTTGATGGCAACTCAGCCACCTAACTACCCTGAAAAATCCTGGAATTGGTCACTTCAACCACCCCTTCAAATGGAAAGCAATGGATCCCAAGTGTTGACAACGCGACAGTACATTTACAAGAATTAACAAAATAAAAGGGATCATTACTTTTTTTGTTAGATTCCCTTGCGGTTCAATTCTCAATCTCTGTTACCTTTGTTTTCTCTGTTATGTAGATTCATGCAACCGAACCAATACGTGTCTCAACCCATTATTGCCTACTGTGGCAACCGGGGAATGCAACGGCGTAACGACACAGATATGCTCAGTGGGTAGGTAGGCTAAATTATAGACCTGATTTGATGATGTCACATTTTCAGTGGCATTTTTTAGCCATTGGTTCAATGCATTTAACCCATACCTACGCACTCAATGTGAACCGTACTGCGCAGGCACTCATTATTGTCGTTGCAATGAAGACGCAGTCATTGTGACGTCATGGAAATTAGGCCTATTGATTGGATTATATGGGTGTCGCATTATACTGGGAAAGTCCCATAGTAAAATTAATTGATCTCCATTAGATCAAAATGTAATGTCCATCTACTCTGAGATGGCAATCTCTAAGTGAAAGACGAGATTTTCACTTAACTACTCTAGTGTATAAGAGTTAAACATCCAAATTGCCTCCTCAACTTTGTGACTGTTTTCATTTTGTTTCTAGTACCCACTCAAACAATACTAGGTCTGTTTCACAAGGTAATCTAATTCCTTCTTTATCCAAATCCTACTCAGGAAAACGTCATAACCTCCCATACTCTTGCAAGTTTTAAGCGCCTCTACACGAACCTGATAGTTTAATATTATATGGTACATGTTTGTCTTGTTTTTGTCTTTTTACTGCCAATGTAGCAACCGTGATTAACCGTGTCTCATCTTACTGTTTATTTATCTTCTTAATTATATCTTTTAATGTATTTATTGCTTGTTTTTCTATTTTATACTATTGTATGTTTGTTATAACTGCTGGGCACCTTTGAAAAACAGTGTTCCACTGAAAGGTCTCCCAGGATAAACAAGAAATAAATAAATAAATAAATAATAAATAAATAAATTGCTCTCCATTATACAATGAAGATCAATGGTAATATAACTTTGCACAGTGCAAAGGCTTTAGGGATACTTTTCCGAAGACACAGTTACCCATACGTATTTCAATAGATAACATATCAAGATGGCAGACAATAGCCACTAGTGTGCCCCCTCCTACGTTATAATAACATACAAACACAAAGTGGAAAGCTTTTTGTTTGTCTTGTAAAAAAACACGAACTGTATCATTGGTTTATACGCATTTTACACATTATAGGTCATGGCTTTTAAGCTGAAAATGTATTACATGTACCTATACTTGCAACATTGTTAAATTTTAAACATGTGTTTGCCGATTTAAAGATGTCCCTTTGTAACGAACAAACTTCATTTTAGAAATTGCCAACTAAATCTCAGTGATCTTTCCTTCATTATTGGTCATATTCTATACCTCGTTTTAAATAGTCCGAGCGCCAAATGATCCACCGCTGAAAGACGTATGTTCAAGTTCTCCCTGCAAAAACGGCGGAAAATGCATATCTCAACGAGAGGGCGTCCTGTGCTGTTACTGTAACCCAGCAACGCCTCCGGATTCCGGCCAGGCTTGTTATGGTACGTAGGCGTACACGTTGCTAATGGTTCACCAGCTATAATAGTAAGATACATGTAATTATGACATTTGTTTTTTTTTATCACAAATAATCTAAACAGTATTTTACCCTCATTAAAAATGGCCCATTAGTTTAACATTTCTTTCACAGGAACTGATCAGAAAGACAATACAAAAGAGTGGTGACTCTCGGACTCGCTTGAAAATAAAAAAATGTGAATGGAAATTTCATTTTACATACAGGGTGAGTAAAAGACACCTGCAATAATGCAAAGAAGCCATTTTTTGAACTTTGAACTTTTGTAACCTTGTAAGAATGGCATTCGTTAGTAGGCCCTAACCATTGCGTGACAAAAAAAGACATCCTCAAAACAGGACATTTTTTTGGCAAGACCTGCACTTGAATCACTAGACATGTGACGAGAAGTCCAAAGGGAATATCCTTGATATGTTCTACCAATGCCTTGAACTTGTTAGGCACAGGAGATATCGGACAGAAACGTAGAGGATTGTTAACCGCTTTGACACTTTCGTACGTGAATCTTTGATACTTAGACCCTGCGATAATAAATGTCTCGTCCAGAACACCCTGTGCTGCAGATGACGGTGCACCACCAACGATAGATAGTTGCAACGATGTGAGGACGAATAAAGTTGTAGTGAGCGATATCATCTCAGACCTTGACGTCACAGCTACCGATAACGTTATGAACTCCTTGCCCATACATTGCATAGAGACTAGTGGTGCATTACATCTTACAAGCAACGAGACCACTTTCAACTGCACAGCAACTGATACGGCTGGAGGAGAGACTACCTGTACATTCAACGTTGTCTTTGGTATGTTTTACAAGAACATTTTACAAAAATCACTGACAACCGCTTCACTTAATTAGTATCCATCAATTAAATTAATTACCATTGTACTTGATAATGAAAAGGAGCGGGACACTTTATCTTTTTTCTCTTTCCTTTTTTTATTCAACAATAACGAAAACAATCAAGATCAACAAGCACCTGTGATCGACAATTGTCCTTCGGATGTAAGGACCAACAACGCTCAGGCAAGCTGGACACCAGATCCTACAGCTACCGACGATGATGGGACCAATCTTGAAGTTAACTGCATTCCAGCCGCTGGTAGTTCATTTCCAGTGGATGCAACTACAAATGTTGTTTGCAATGCGAGTGATGCTGCTGGAAATGAGGCCATCTGCACTTTTAATGTAACTATAGGTAGGTGTATCATTTCACTATTGTACTTGATGTATCTTTTGTCGTTTTCTTCGACATCGCAATTTAATGGCAAACATCCTTCTTATATTGAACAATTATTATTTCAGACCAACAAGCACCTATGATCGACAATTGTCCTTCGAATGTAAGGACCAACAACGCTAAAATATCACTTTTGTTGTATTATTTGTAATTCTTTTCTGTTATGTAATTATTTCATGTCATTTATTGATTTGATACTGTGGAAAATAAATGAACCTTGAACCTTGAATGTATTTTCTGGGATTTAAGCCAAAGTACAAATATAGGTTTTCCCGCCAATTTCCTCAAATGTTCATTCTTTTCTGAAAATCGATCATTAGTTTTCGTCTGAATTTGAATGCACGTCTTTAATCCCATTCCAATTCAACAAAATTCAATCGTTTTCATTGTCCGTGTATTCGGTTTTGAGAAACAGGTGGCCAATTACGCTACCTGCGCATTCATTTACGCAAGCAAACCTTTTCTAAATTGATTTCAGGTACAGCTAATTTGATTGACGGTTAATGAAAAAGAAACCCTTAATTGTATCTGGTGCCGATGACATTAAACTAAAAGTGAAATGGAATGGCGAATGTTTGAAATCGCCCGCTGAATGCATAAAAAGAAGTCTTGTAAACAAATCTGAATGGACATAATTAAACGAAAGGTGCTGCTCAATCACTTAACTGATTGAACTGAAATGGAATTAAATGCTCTGGTAGCGAAAATGAAACGCGTGTTCAGAGCGATTCTCAAATTCAGACGAAAATGAATGACCGATTTTTAGAAGTGAAAGAACATTTTAGGAAATTGGCCGGGAAAACCTATAGTTGCCTGTTTATTGTGTAAGCTAGTCGGGTTCTGTTTTTCAAATGAACCACACAGGGAATAGCACGCCTTCCTTATTGTTGTATTTACATTGACCTATTTGATGTTTGGTATTGGTGCATTTTCCCCTGACATTATTGATTATTGTACATGCGAACTCATATTTTTCATATCATTTCATCTATTTCAAGTGTTTGAAACCTTTTGAAAATACCTCGACAAAATATGAATACATAAGTTGGATGAACTGCGAACAATTGGTATGACAAAGTGAAGGAACCACGTGGAACCAGTTAACCTCATAAGCCTTTAATTGCTTTTGAATAATATCCTTCATTAATAATTATCACCTTGATTTTTCATCGAAAGATGTTGTCTCCATATTTCAGTGTGATTCACGGAAATAGCACAATATACCTCAATGGGATTCATGCATTAAGACGAGGCCCAGTGATCGTCTTTTTTGTTCTGTTAAATACAGCGGAGTCGATCACGTGCCCTACCGACTATTGCCAAAATGGCGGGGAATGTCTGCGGGAAGGAGCAGTGCCAAGGGTCCAGTTCTCCTGCAAGTAGGTTCTTATTTTATTGCTTCTTCAGCAGTGACAATCACAGTGATAGCAATGGCAATGACAGTCATGAAAGCTTACGGCAACGAAAATAGAGGTTGTTTTTCTTAAGCCGATTTATTTTCGATAGTCTTCTTGTGTGTGTGTTTTTATAACACATGTGCAACTTCTGGCAACTTTCAGAAACCTTCTTCAACTTGTCATTGGTGCATTAGTGTTGTATGCATGTACTTAAACTAACACGATTCTACCACGGCCCTCACACATGTTCATTGTGTTAAAAAGGCATATCACGTTTTGCAGTATGACGTCAAAAACCTTTCTATTGTTTTCTTACTAAAGTTGTTCTGCTGGATTCACCGGTGATGTTTGCCAGACATCAATAAAAGGTACTTTTTTTAAAATAAAAAAATCGTGGATGACATTCGAAAAAACCTGGCTTTCTGTCTTTTGATTTTGTTTTTAAGTATTTATGGAGTATTTAAGAGCAATGATGTTCCTCTTTGTAAAAATGTTCTTTTACAAAACAATAATTAATAGGCCAGAGACATACTGTACAACGGCCAAATAAATGTTTCGTATATGGATTTACGTATGTTGGTGGTCACCACATCATGAAAAATATAATAATTAAATACGCATAATACACCAACATCGAAGTAAAATAGGAAAAGTTAACAGATGATCAGGATATCCGACAGGTTTTTAATTTTCATTTCGAATATTTAATTTTTTTTTTGGATCAAATTTAAACACCACTTACTTAGCTAATCAACATTTTGCAAATGAACCTAAACACGTCCTTACAGTGGAAGGCAATAAACAAAAAATCCATTGAAACAAACAAAATTCGCTTTGAAAGTTATTTGGTCCCGTGTTCAAAAATCTTACAGCAAAGTTCTGTTTCCGTCGTAGGTACTCCCCTTGCCGCCATTCTGATCCCGGTAATAGCTCTCGTCTGCCTACTTGTGATAATTGGGGTCTGCACGATGACAAAAGCTGGGTACAGACACTCGAAGCAACCCGCGGCACCCCCGGAACTAAACCTGATGGAGTATGACACAGGGGAGCGTCTGTACCGCACATATCACGGCAGGTCTACTCACGAGTTACGGTTCTCTCATCTCGGCGGACGACTGGCGGTCAATCATCTCGCTTACATCAATCGACAGGAGAATTTTTAAGCGCGTGTTCCCATCCAAACAATGTTCTCTTATGCTATGTCACAGGAGAGATTAGTAGAATCCACTGAATTATTGGCAGAGGGTTTGACATGGGCGTCGCCAGGATTTTTTCTAGAGGGGGGCAAACAATTTTTTTGCCAAAAAAATGCTTGTATTTCTCAACACATTCTCGATTTATCAGTTTTAGAGGGGAGCAGGGACATTTTGCCCCCCCCCAACTCATTTAATTTGTACCCCTTTGTCTTCGCGCCTCTTTTTTTTTTCTTCCTTTTTTTTCCTTTTTTCTTTTCCAGGGCAAGTGCCCCCCCCCCTTGCCCCCCCCCCCCTCGCGACGCCCATGGGGTTTGAGGTTTGCCGATGGCCAAAGAGAAATGTAGGGTCTATATGTTTGTATATACCTAAACTAAGGTACCTCTTACAATACCCAATTTCTTTCTCCTATTAACTTTATTGTTAAAAACACATTTACGGTTAAACCAAAAAGTTACCAGATTTCAAAAGAGATTCTTTAAAAAATCATGAAATCAGGAAACATCTTGAAAAATCACACCCCTGTGATGTAAATATGGAAGAAAGAGACAGGGAAAGCGCGGCGTTTTTTTTAAAGTATGAATTTTGGGGTTTTGGGATCGCTGCGTGAAAGATATCTCGTTATCTCGAATGTTCTTAAATTTGGATTGTGGTAATAGATCTACCGAAGGTTCACTTAAACGGGGCGTTATTGGATATGCACTATTAACCTTTTTATAAATTTTACGCTGAAACTGTATATCGCTTTATTAGGATAGGTGAACTTTTATAGGAGAGATTGATCTTCCATTTCTTTTTATGGATTTATTTCATTATAATGAAACCAATAACAAAGCTTCTATGAAAATCATGTATGGCAAAGCAACTTTTGCTCACATTTATTTTAACTGTTGTTTAACGTTGAAATCACCAACTGCAGGCTAAACGCCTGCCATAGAAATATTAAATTATAATTTTGCCGTCATTTGAGGTTCATTAGCTTAAAAAAAGTTCCGACTGCTTTTGGCCGGGAACACATACATATTTCCTCAATTCATGTTTGTTATTGACTCCATTTTTTTTCTCGGAATAACGATGTAAAATTATAACGATGAATATATATCGAGCCATTAAAATATGTCACATCGAGCACTTAAAATATGTCCCATTATTATGTAGGCCATTAGTTTTATCATTTTTACGTAATATACTAATGACCATGAAATGTACAAATGGGAAAATTTATTATTTTCATATTTTGTGTAAATGTTTTAAGCATACTTTTACGTTAACATGTTTTACATTTATTTGTTTTTGTTCTTGGGCCCATGTAGTTTACTGAAATTTATATGCATGTAATTGTATTACTTCTACATCTGGTAATTTAATGTTCTTGTGATTTTAATGTATTGTAAATTTTTGAGTATTTTTATATAAAATTTGCGCTTGAAATTACGAATTCCCTATTAGGGAGACACTTTTTGCTGGAACATTATAAGGGGGGGGGGTCATGTGTAGATCAATGATAAGTTTTAGAAACTCAAAATCTCAGTGGGGGGGGGGGGCGACAAGGTTTCATAGGGGGGGGGGCTGTCGCCGTGACCTCTGCTAAAAAATTTAGCAAAAATGACCTCTGCTAAAAAAATGTATCCAATCCAATCCAATCCGATCTTATCCAATCCAATCCAAATTTATCCAATCCAATCCACTGAATCCAATCCAAATTTATCCAATCCAATCCAATCCAATCCAAATTTATCCAATCCAATCCAATCCAATCCAAATTTATCCAATCCAATCCAATCCAAATTTGAGTATCCAATCCAATCCAATCCAAATTTATCCAATCCAATCCAATCCAAATTTATCCAATCCAATCCAATCCAATCCAAATTTATCCAATCCAATCCAATCCAAATTTATCCAATATCCAATCCAATCCAATCCAAATTTATTCAATCCAATCCAATCCAATCCAATCCAAATTTATCCAATCCAATCCAATCCAAATTTATCCAATATTGTTCACAGAGGTTAAATGGCAAGCATTAATAAGCATTAATAAGGTAAAAGTACTAGTGTTTTACTGCATGAATTTGAGGTTTGTCAACAAAGAGGTTTGGCAACACCACACGAGGAGAGTCGGGTAAGCTTCGAAGTGCGCCACGTTAGGGAACACGACTATACTAGTATTACTACACGTACGCCTCAATCAAAAGTAGTCCATGTCCATGTAAGTGATTTTCTGCATAGGGGACGTTGGACAATAGAGGATCGTGTACAAAACGATCGTGTACAAAACATATGGTCTTCCCAAAAAGTCGAAGTACAAACGTGGGCGTGTGTTGGGGGGGGGGGGGGGGTAGACGGGGGGGGGGGGGGGGAGGGTATACATACGCTATATGTATATAGCTGTATTTTTATTTTAGGCTAGTTGTCGCTTATTACTTGAACTGGGCATTTTTCACCTTTTTTTGATGGTCCCAGAGTGTTCAGACTAAATTGCTCCATTATGTCTCACTGACATGACTCACTCGTTCCATACCTTTAAAAACTTTAAGAGTGCCAATCACAACATTTTCCAAGACTTTTGTTTATATCTGACATAAATTATTAAACATTAAAAAAACTACGATAAAGGTAATTTCTTTACGCATTTTCTCTGCGCTTCATGTTACGATTTTGATTTCGTTTTATGGAGGCCAATCGAAGAGATTAGATGATGTAACACAGTCGCTTTGCAGGTGCTATACTTTTGGATATACACGTATAAGTATTTAAACTTCGGAGGTCATGCTCATTAGTCAACAGTTCGTTGACCCGCATCTCACAAAGTTACGAGCCAGATTACACACCAACAACACATTCAGTTTTGGGAGTTTCTTCTAAAGGCCAATTATATTACATGATCTGTGAGGGTCGGGTGAACAAAATCGTGTTGAATTGACATGGAATGACCAAGCTGTCCTGCTATAATTTAATTTGCAGTCATATTTTGTCTGAGTCAAGTCCTGCCGCTGGGCAAGCACACCTATCTACAGGTTGGAGAAAGTGAAGAAGTAGAATGCCCTCTGATCACAGATGAGAACTTCAGCATCAGAGATGTCGACTCAGCGTATTGGTACAAAGACGTTGTAGCCACAGAGAACCTAGTCATTTCCAATTTTGAGGGAACTATCTATGAAGGCCCGAGCATTGTCAGCGGCAAGTATTTCCTGACTGAGCGATTATCCCTAGTCATAAACAACATTACAGCATCTGATGAAGGGCAGTTCTTCTGTCAGCTGAAAACTGGACGTCCTGGTTTCCAAACTGTACCCGTAGATGTAACAGTTTTTGGTGAGTAAAATAAAAAGGTTTGACAACTGTGTCTTTTAATAATAATAATAATAATAATAACGAAGTTTCATAAAGCGCACATATCCACCAAGGTGCTCAGGGCGCTATTACAATGAAAACGAAACAAAACATAATCAGTTTAATTACGAAAAAACGGATCTTTCGACATGAGGTGTTTTGAGAGATGTTTTGAATGAGTGAATAGAAGTGGAGGTTTTGATATGAAGAGGTAGTTGATTCCAGAGATGTGGTGCTGCAACAGAGAAAGATCTGTCCCCCCAGGTACGATGAGATTTGACTTCTTGAAGAAGATATTTATTTCCAGATCGAAGGTTGCGAGATGGTTTGTATATATTGAGCATGTCCAGGATGTACGTAGGTGCTTGCCCATTAAGTGCTTTGAAGACAATGAGCATCAGTTTGTAGATGATTCTAGACGATATTGGGAGCCAGTGAAGATCCAAAAGGACAGGTTTTATATGGGAGTGTTTTGTCGTTAAAGTGACCACACGTGCAGCAGTTTTTTGTAGGCGTTGGAGACGGGATAGCTGAACATCTGGAAACCCAAATAAAAGTGAGTTTCCCATATCAAGACGAGATGTAACAAAGGAGTGGACAATCTGTTCTGTGGAAGCGCGATCAAGATATTTTCGGATCTTTCCTATGTTGCGGATGTGAAATAAAGCAGAGCGAACTGTGTTAGAAATGTGATTCATGAACGACATCGACGAGTCAAAAATTACACCAAGATTGCGAACATGGCTGACTGGTTTGATGTGAGAGTCCCCAACAGTAATAAAAGGAATAGAGATTTTGGAAAGTTGCTGTGGAGAACCTATCAACATGAACTCAGTTTTATTGTCATTAATTTTCAGGAAGTTGTCGTTCATCCAATGACGAATTTCACCAACACAAGCCTCCGTGCGAGTGATGCAGGACTGAGCATGTTGTTGTGAGGGATTAAAAGAGACATATATTTGTGTGTCGTCCGCATACGTGTGATATTGAAGGTTGTGTCTCTGAATGATTTCTTGAAGAGGGAATGTGTATAATGAGAACAACTGCGGGCCGAGAACCGAACCCTGAGGAACTGAAAAATCAAGTTGGACAGGTTCTGAGGCAGCATCCCCGACACGGCGGTATTGTGGTCTACATTCCAGGTAGGACTGGCACCATTGCAGAGCACGATCCCGCAGACCGATGACGTTTATACGCAGACGAGTCAGAAGTATGGAGTGGTCCACGGTGTCGAATGCCGCACTCAAATCAAGGAAAATAAGTGCAGTAATTTTTTGTTGATCAAGACCAGTAAGAATGTCATTGTGAACACGTATTAAGGCAGTTTCAGTACTATGATTCGGTCTGTAGGCAGATTGAAATGAATCAGTGAGATTGTTGACCCGCATAAATACCTGTAACCTGGAGGACACTATACGTTCAATAGTTTTACCTAAAAAACTCAAATTTGAAATGGGTCTGTAATTGCTAAACACTTCCTTACCAAGCCACTTTTCTTTAAGAGGGGGCGAATGTAAGAGGTTTTAAGGCAAGTGGGGAAAACACCGGTATTAAGAGATTTGTTAACAATATGAGTAATTAAAGGAACAAGAACACCACAGCAATCCTTTATAAGAAAGGTGGGAACTGGGTCAAGCTCACAGGATTTGGATGGAGATTTGGCGAGCAATTTCTTGATTTCTGTCTCACTGGCTGGCTGAAATTCCGTAAGATAAGCATAATTAAGTTCATTTTGTGGGGCAATATTATCTTTGCTATACATGCTTGAGAGAAATCATTACGTAAAGTGACAATTTTGTTGACAAAAATTTCTGAAAATTGGGTAGCTAGGGCTATGTCAGAAACTGAAAAAGGCATAACAGGAACTTTACTCTTATTGAGTAATCGATTTACAATACCAAATATTTTTTTCTGATTACCAGAACAACCAATAACTTTAGAAGAATAATACGCTTTCTTAGCTCTAACAATACAGTCAGTTACAATACGTCGATGGACGCAGTAATCTTGTCTGTGAACAGTCAGTTTTGTAGAGCGCCATTTCTTCTCGAGTTGTCGTCTTTTTTCCCGAGCTGAAGGGTGCACTGAACTAATTCAAGCGATAATTTCTACGCCAGCTGATTAGCATAAAAAGTGCCCCCACAATTTCTTTTGAAAACGGAGACCGTTTGGCTTTAAAAACGGTGGAATTGTTTAAATATACCCAAGGATCAACTCCCTGGTTTTGGGGCTTCCATCTGAGGGCAGGCTTGATAAAATTACGGATGAAAAATGGGTCCTATTTGCCTGTGAAAGTGGAAGGATGCCACTTGTAAAATGGCTACATGCAGGCTCGGGAACTATCACTTTTCGGGAGGTGATTTTATTTGGGTGTGAATATTTAAAAATGTAATTGGCTAATGTACGTAAAATTGAAAAGAAATGAAAAGATGAAAGACAAGACAATAATTTAATTTTTGTTTCAGAAACCCCAGTGATGTTGGCTTGCATGTTACTTGGCCCTGAACTTTGTTGATTTTACACTGTTTTCAATGGGGCTTGAATTAGTACAGTGGACCCTGAACGAATTTACTCGTTGAACCATGGACTATTTGGTGGTATTTTTACAGTCCGCGTTCGCATAGGGGCATGCTTGTCAAGCAGACCACTGAGAGTTGAATGATATTTTTCAACACAGCAAGGTAGGTCGGTGTTCTGTAAGTCGATGTTCGAAAGTGCTGAAACCACATCATTGCGAAATTTATCAATTTTAAGGTTTTTGAAGTGGCGGGAGGACACAGACATAGTTGGCGAGGGTGGCTTTTGGAGCTGAAGAGTCGCCATGACAGCAAAATGATCAGAGAGTCCAGGATGAATGCTTAAATCTGAGATGAGTGAAGTATCCTCCTGGGTGATAAGCAGGTCCAAACAGTGACCACTGCGGTGAGTTGGTTCATTAATGTGCTGAATGAACCCGTAGGATGATAAAAGAGATTTGAACCGCTTTGAAATACTGTCCAAGGGGTTGTCCACATGGATGTTGAAGTCTCCGGTGAGAATAATTTCAGATGGGTGAAGCAAGTATAATTCCAATAAGTTTTCGAAATCTTCGAGGAATGTATTTATGCTGATGCGGTGGCCAGAATTATCATTTCCAGACCGATATATATTGACAAGCCGGACTGATTTTGAGTTACAAGTTATTTCTGCATGGATGGACTCAAATGATGAGAAGTTTCCAACATCAGGCTTTATGGATACTGATAAACAAGACTTGTAGAGGAGTCCTACCCCTCCACCTGTTTTGTGCAGTCTGGGAATATGATGAAATGAGTATCCAGGTGGTGTTATTTCAGTTATAATCCAGTCGTCCCCAGGTTTCAGACAGTATGGGCTTTGAACACACACGCAAGGTGGAGACGGCTGAAGCGTACACGTTCTAAATTAAAAACAAATTAATGACGACAGATACCCACATGAAACTTGTATCAAAGAACTACTGATTCCTTCCTCCATGCTAATACTGACAAATGAAAATCCCATTGTTATTAAAATACGTTTCAGCCGTCTCCACCTTGCGTGTGTTCAAAGCCCATACTTTCGTACGGCGCGGATGGTAGCACGTATTATTACACGAAACAGTCGTTGATAAAGCGCGACTTGTTTTTCTTCGATGGAGCAACGACGGTGACGTCACGTCAGACGCCCTCATCCGGCAAACCGGTGCAAGGATTGAGCCTCACGGCGAACACATTGAGCTGTAAGTTTTCAGACTATTTTGCTGTTTTTCTTCAAAATGTTCGCTGTTTGGGACAATGTAAGGGGTCTGATGGAATGTCATGAATGTGTAGATCAATCCCGGGTAACTGTCTCTCTCATTTGTATTCTTTTTACCGGTTTTTTGGGAGGTCTTTTTGTCCTCGCGTGGGTTTGTGACTATGCTACTGTGACGCCGTCACCAAAGTATGGCAAATCGGTGGAGCGTTTATATGGAGGGGTACCCGTAATTCAACGCTCCACTCAGTAGAGCTACCTTCATTGAGATGGGGTCCGCTCATAAGTCCGACGCCTCATAGGTCCGACGCCTCATAAGTCCGACAAAATCGCATCCCCTAACCAAATAAAGGCCCATAAGTCCGACGCCTCATAGGTCCGACGCCTCATAAGTCCGACGCCTCATAGATCCGACGCCTCATAGCTCCGACGCCTCGTAAGTCCGACAAATTAAATGCCTCGTTTTTCCGTTGTCGGACTTATGAGGCGTCGGACTTATGAGGCGTCGGACCTATGAGGCGGAATAAATAAATTTTATGCCTCATAAGTCCGACGCCTCATACGTCCGAAATTTCGGACTTATGAGGCGTCGGACCTATGAGGCGTCGGACTTATGATACGGCCCCATTGAGATGATAGGCCTATGAAGAAAAAAAGCATGAAAAGTGGCGTCAGGTTGCAACATTTTTTCCCAAAGCATGATTTCAAAAATTCTGTTATTGGAATTTTAAAAAAACTACGATGCTTTTCGGCAAAAGAACAGCGCCCTCACACATTTACTGATGCGGTTAACATGGTTTAATGTTTAATTTGGGGGAAATGGATTTAGCCACTTCCTTAAGTTAAAATTTGATGAAAATAAAGACATTAAAATGGGGATATTCTTGCCTCGTTTCTTCCACATGGCGTCCTGTGTCTTGAGGAATCCCTCGCTGATCGCCTGCTTGACTTTCTCCGGGTCTTTGGACTCGAATCCCCGCTGAGCTTTGATCGTGTCCCACAGCGTATCACGCGCGAACACGGCGGCTTCCTTTCCCCCGTGCCCGTCAAAAACACCGAAGAAGGCACAATCGTTGTCCTTACTCCGCTCATATCGGATGGAAATCATGTCTTCCATGTGATCCCTACCACCCTGATTGGAATCACTGGTCACACGAAGTCCGAGAACTTGTCTTTTGGCGGGCATTTTGGGAGTGGATTTTTTGCCGGTGCTCGCGCCCACGAACTCCATTTTGCAATGCGCGATCAACACTGGCTTTTTTTGCGCGCGCTCGATGGGATTCTTTTGTGTATATATATACGGTTTGACCTCGGAGTTCTTGTTCATGCGTGTGCAAAAGCGGCGTTTTGATTGGTCGATCGAAAAGATTGGCCGACTAAACTGGTTAACATTTAGGCGCATTTTCTATAACCCAGATTAAAAGGTCAATCTAGTCAAGTTAACTATTAAGTGCATACATAACATGTACGTACACGTAATACAACATGTTTCGCGGGGAACTGTGAACACTAAGGGTGCAACCCTGCAAATAAACTCCCATAGACACTAGTGCTAAATGCCCATACTTCAAAATTCTTTTTAAAATACTCAAAACTCTCACAGGTATTCAAGCTGCACAGAAAAATGATGATCAATGTGTCATCTTTCATTTTCTTTTCAATTTATGGTGGGTTGACCATTGACTTTTCGAGATATTTTCACGCAAAGAAGACGACCCCTACTTTCCCCAAAGCGGAAAAGTAGCCATCTTGAAAAACGATCCCTCCACAACATGGCAAAATAGCGCCACTTTCGAGCCCAATAGCATCCAAAATGCTCAGAATTGGAAGCCCCAAGTCCGGGCCAGAGGTTCATTACCATATCTCTTCAATTCCCCAATTTTACGACGCTCAGAACTCTCTAATATAGAATATTTTGAGGGGTATAACTTTTATTCATGAGCTTGGCGGATCGATTTACTGGTGTGCACCCTAATAATCTTGAGGTGTTGGCTGATAGGGACCAAATTTCCTATAGCATAATTAATATTCGCATTTACGGAAAGATCCGTATAATTACGCCGAAAATACGGAATATTTCACTTTACGGAGTCCGTAAATTTACGGGCATTTTTATCAGTGCATGTTTCTTAAATCCCCCATGATGTTCCGATGTTCTCATGCAGTGCGTTCGATTACAGTCCCCCCACATGCCCCGGCTTACTTGCGCCGGTGACGGACATAAACCACTATAGTCTAACGACTTGTCATCAAGTTTACCTTGCAACAATAATATTTACATGCGATGTCATGCATAATGATACACAATTCATTTTCTCCACTTTTCAGTACAGTTAAACGTTTTAAGAGCAACAGTATATTCTTAACAAAATAATAAAATAAATTATCTTTAAAATCTCAAAAAACTTTTGCTAAAAAAGTCAAATGAAAGTGGCCAGGAATCCGGCCCCAACGCACAATGGGCGAACGCAATGGTTGTCGGAACAAAGGTGTGTCGGAAGATAGATTTGTCCGAACATTGGGTTGTCGGGACGTAGGGGTGTCGGATCGCGGAATACAGAGCAGTCACACAAACCAAATGCAAGATGCGAAGTTCCAAGTTTACATCGAATGCAACACACATTACTACCACGTTGTCGTAAAAGTTGGTATATTCACTTATTCTTTAAAATGGGGCTTGCGGTCGCTGCCGAAGTTAATATTGAGCGTGATGAGGAGTAATAATTAACCATCTGATATTTTCTACATAAACCCCAGGTGTAGGGGGTTTTGCATAGAAATGTTTAGATACCAACTTTTATGACAATGTGTTTTCTCTTCTAAAGGCACTCCGCTACAAGCCTTGGCTTATTAGGATTGTGCCTCCACACTATTGTATTTTGCTTTCTGTTATGTTATTATTTTAGTATGGAAACAAATGTAATATTGAATTGAATTGAATTGAATTGAATGACACAATTAGGTTAACTTTCCGTACTCAGCATCAACTCAACGTTTATTTTCCCCGAAATGATTGCACGAGCTGGTCCTTTTCATGATCGGTGTATTTGTATAAATCACATACTTTTGATGTCAAGAAATCAGGAGTGAACTTTTTATTGGTTATAAAACACTTACAAAAAAAGTCAGGGACTGTGAGCGATGAATGAAACGTTGTTTCTGATTGGGCAAAAGGTCACTCTCGTCGTCTATAGTATCATCAGACAGAAACGTGTCCTTTTTTGCGGGCTATAAATCATTCCACCAGTAAGGCCAAACAAAAAAAGTCTCCGGTTTCAAGTATGGAGCTTGTCCCAAAAGTGGTGCGTCGACGCGGGTTTTTCCCCCTCCTTTTCACTTCTTCAAATGTCGGTTGATATTGCAGATGACTCTTCGATCCCCTTAAAACTCTCCAGAATATCCTTCAGAGTGGAGCTTGAGGTGACCTCAGTAAGGCCATAAGGCTTGAGAATTCTGCACCCACGATCTCGTCCGACATGAACATTCTTCAGGAAATTTGGATAGTCGGGAAAAAATCAGAGAAAACGGTAACGTCAGACCATACAGCGACATCGTGCATGAGCTGCCACGCTGGTCATTAGCTAGCCCGACTGCGTCTGGCCGTACAGTACTATCGCAAGCTCTGTAGTACGGCCAGACGCCCGATGCTTCCACAGAGACTGAATTTTGTTGGCCGCCGATGTAGCGATTTTGCTACATCTTTCGATCGCGATTATCTTTTCATCCAGGACACAAATTTCCAAAGTTAAGGTTCGTAGTCGTAGAGCAACTCATACTTTTTCGAAAAAAACGTTGTTTGGTCTCAATATTTTCATCCATCTGGCCACAAGACGAATTTCAGTCATCAGATTCCACAAATATCGTCCCCCATGCGATCCCCCATGCGATTTCAAAATGGCGGCCGCGCTGTAATGTATGCAATATGCAGGCGCGCCCGCACAAACTCATGAATATGCATAAACAGTCTGTGACGTATGACCTCGTGTTTTTGGCCTTGTATCGCGTGCACCAAAGAAAGCCAGACAAAAGAGGTCAGTCCCAAGGCACGGCTTCCATTAATCAGTCGCTGGTTGATTTTCATGTTCTGTAGTGTTGAAGTGAAAAAATCGGAGAATGATTTTTTTTGCTCAACATATTGCGAACCACTGCTAAACTTGGAAGAAAAAAAAAACACAGCCAAACCGGTCGCGGTCATGCATGATCGCACTAGACATGATTGGAATCCGAAGGGGTGAGACCCAAGCAGGTATATTAGCACTCATGACTTTGCTGTTAGGAATGCTGGTCTACAAAAAAACAACTTGCGTCCCAGAAATAGGTGTGAAAACTGGGTTACCGAGCAATATTATATAGGTCTAGTTATCGGCTATACGCCCATAGCGCTTCAACAGACCGACACGTATATGATTATATTAAACCCTACCGACGGAGCCAGTCTGTGAGTTTCTCACACCACAATTAGCAAGGTGTAATGCGGTTAGACGACTGATTATCCAACTTGGATCTTGGATGCTTACAGACGCTGGCTTCATGAACTTGGACTCCAAAAAGATGAGCAGAAATTGGGCGGACCAGAAATGAATCACACATAGGACAACATTGGACTGTAGTAAGGCCGAGACGCAGGTTAGTGATGGTGTACGGGGAGGGCAGTAGTTTTTGGCGGGCATACATGAAGACATTTCATTTAGTTTGAAATAGTGGAAGACCAGACTATTTTGTGTCAGGAATAGTTTAAACTTAAGATAACGAACATTGAATTTAAGAAAAGAGCAGACTTAAGCTTAATGCATAATCAGTCCGATATTACTGTGTTGGATTATGTCTGTGTCAGACAACGAAGATATCTGGAAGCTATTTTGGTTGGATGTTCAGCCGGATAGTAACATGGACATTATTGACTAACCGACTCACTGACGGAGTGACCGTCCAACCGACATTGTTACTGAGTAACCTTTTTTTAGCTGAGAGATAATGTAATACTTGACATGGAATTCGACGCGGCAGAAGTCAAAAATTGTTTAACAGATTTTATGACATCTCACAGACTCTGCTCTTGATTGGCCGAGATCTCGTCACCATGGTATACTAATATTGTCAGTGCGACAACGTATATACCTGCCTGATGACATATTCAGGCAGCAAATGCAGAGCTCGAGCGCTTTTTGGCCGCTGACCGATATAGCGCAGCGTGATTTTCCGCATGGCGGAAGCCGGGCCGGTGCCTCATGTGGACGGCCCAACGTGGCCGCCCGTGCACGGTGACATCATTTTTGCCGGCGCGCGGTTCGCACCGTTCGCCGTTTTGGAACGGTCTACTTTTTCATCCTTTTATTTTATTTACGAACCAAACTATGCATTTCTGTTTTATTTTTGTATTCTTCTACTATAATTTCAGATTTAAAGGTTTTTCCAGCACACACAGGTCGTCAGGCCGACCATAATAGTAGGCCTACATGTACATGTACGCACGCACGGTAATTGTTCGACAGAAATAAAACCTACATAAGAAACGCAATCCAATTCACAATAACTCGTCAACCCCATAATAATTTGGGTTTGATCATCAGAAAGACTTTTATCAAATAAGCGAGTCGTTATAAATCTAATCGATTGCTTTAACTCGTGACACAGTAAAAATGGCCTCCCCCAGTGATCAGTGGAACGTTCTATTTTCACTCTGCGTCATCTCGGCAAACCAGAGCACTCCATGGATCACGTGGGGAGGCTAGTTTCACTGCACAATTATAGGAGCAGTCAGTATTTCTATACTATTTTGTCCAGAATTATCCAGATGGGTGCCCATTTTATTTGGATTGTTTTCATGGTAACGTCCGGTTGGTTGAGGGACAGTCAAGCTGGTAAGTTATATTTCATTTCTCTTTTTGAGGACTATTTTAGCCAAGAATTGTTTTCAAAAGAATTAAGAGGCTAATCAAATTAATGGGGGAGTTTTGACTACTGATGAAAAAGGTAGAGAACTCTCGTCTTTTTTCTTTAATGTATCAATATGGAAAACACATCAGATCAATTTTCTGGAGGGACTGTGTGCATGGGCGTCACAGGGTTTTTACGAAAGGGTACTTTGTGTATACACTCACAAAATGAGGAACAATAGTATTCTACAAATCCGTCGTCGTACGACCGTGCCCGACAAGGGAAATTCTAAAGAAGAGAGGTGGGAGAGAACAATGCAAGTATCCCATGCAAGTATCCCATTGCGTTCCATGGAAACGCAAAAATAGAACATCATCGAACTTTTATCTCCTTGATGGTATTGCGCATGTCTTTTTTACCCATGTTCATGTGCCTAGAATAACTACTGCAGTAAGAACTCAAAAATGGTATAATATGGCAGGTAATGCACCTTGTACTTTTTTTTTAATAGATTTTTGTACCCCATCATCAGTTTCGACTTACGATTGCGTCTTTCCAGACGGATTTGAGAAACAGGCTCGCTTTGGTAAGTGTGTGTACATGTGATGTAAATACACCTATACCGAATAACGAAAAATACTAAAAAGATATGCGGTACGCTCCAATTTTAATAACAATAAATAGGAATAAATTAAGTCCATGTTTTTAACGATAGTAACTTTCACGTAATTTGTGTACTCTATTTTCACAAGTTATTGCTAATTTTAAATTTAATAGAAATACCACAATGAATACTATACGATGAAAGAAAACTTGCAAAGCAAAACAGACAATAATCACCATTTTCATTCTCAGAAATAGGACTTGATTTATGTACAACACAAAATCAGACGGTGAAAGTAATGTTTCAGTCTTGACTCTCATTAAATCTCATTTGAATTTGAATTCCTGTGTGGTAATATCTGGTTCCCACCCAGATGAATAACTTCAAAACATCTAGCATTCCATGGACAGCTGTAGAAATGTGTTCTTTTGCATAAGTTCTGATAGCAAAAATCAATTTCAGTAACGTTTTTAACAGATGAGTGAAAGAACGTGCTCGCTTAATACGTGCTTCATTGGTGTATCAAATTTGCATGATTTTAATGGTAAAATAATTAATCTCTGTCACTTTCTTTATTACTCATCCTGTACTTCTAGCCACTCCACGACTCTGCCTATAGCGTCGCTGATTTAAATACCCTTATTCCTTTGATAACTTACTCTCTAAAACTCAGGATATTCTACCAATATGCATAACACAGAAAGGTTGCCCTCTTTCGAGTGTATCGGATCCTGTTTCGGGGAAATATCGCGGGCGAGGGTATCAAAAGGGGAGGTGGATCACCCCAAGCACCCCCATCCGCCACTGAATTGGACCTTATACCCCTTCTATCTCAACAATGTTTAATTACTCCTTACAACGTCACTAAAATTCTAAATGTTGGTTGATGGCAACTCAGCCACCTAACTACCCTGAAAAATCCTGGACTTGGTCACTTCAACCACCCCTTCAAATGGAAAGCAATGGATCCCAAGTGTTGACAACGCGACAGTACATTTACAAGAATTAACAAAATAAAAGGGATCATTACTTTTTTTTGTTAGATTCCTTTGCGGTTCAATTCTCAATCTCTGTTACCTTTGTTTTCTCTGTTATGTAGATTCATGCAACCGAACCAATACGTGCCTCAACCCATTATTGCCTACTGTGGCAACCGGGGAATGCAACGGCGTAACGACACAGATATGCTCAGTGGGTAGGTAGGCTAAATTATAGACCTGATTTTATGATGTCACATTTTCAGTGGCATTTTTTAGCCATTGGTTCAATGCATTTAACCCATACCTACGCACTCAATGTGAACCGTACTGCGCAGGCACTCATTATTGTCGTTGCAATGAAGACGCAGTCATTGTGACGTCATGGAAATTAGGCCTATTGATTGGATTATATGGGTGTCGCATTATACTGGGAAAGTCCCATAGTAAAATTCATTGATCTCCATTAGATCAAAATGTAATGTCCATCTACTCTTAGATGGCAATCTCTAAGTGAAAGACGAGATTTTCACTTAACTACTCTAGTGTATAAGAGTTAAACATCCAAATTGCCTCCTCAACTTTGTGACTGTTTTCATTTTGTTTCTAGTACCCACTCAAACAATACTAGGTCTGTTTCACAAGGTAATCTAATTCCTTCTTTATCCAAATCCTACTCAGGAAAACGTCATAACCTCCCTACGACACTTAAACATCCATTGCCTCCCATACTCTTACAAGTTTTAAGCGCCTCTACACGAACCTGATAGTTTAATATTATATGGTACATGTTTGTCTTGTTTTTGTCTTTTTACTGCCAATGTAGCAACCGTGATTAACCGTGTCTCATCTTACTGTTTATTTATCTTCTTAATTATATCTTTTAATGTATTTATTGCTTGTTTTTCTATTTTATACTATTGTATGTTTGTTATAACTGCTGGGCACCTTTGAAAAACAGTGTTCCACTGAAAGGTCTCCCAGGATAAACAAGAAATAAATAAATAATAAATAAATAAATTGCTCTCCATTATACAATGAAGATCAATGGTAATATAACTTTGCACAGTGCAAAGGCTTTAGGGATACCTTTCCGAAGACACAGTTACCCATACGTATTTCAATAGATAACATATCAAGATGGCAGACAATAGCCACTAGTGTGCCCCCTCCTACGTTATAATAACATACAAACACAAAGTGGAAAGCTTTTTGTTTGTCTTGTAAAAAAACACGAACTGTATCATTGGTTTATACGCATTTTACACATTATAGGTCATGGCTTTTAAGCTGAAAATGTATTACATGTACCTATACTTGCAACATTGTTAAATTTTAAACATGTGTTTGCCGATTTAAAGATGTCCCTTTGTAACGAACAAACTTCATTTTAGAAATTGCCAACTAAATCTCAGTGATCTTTCCTTCATTATTGGTCATATTCTATACCTCGTTTTAAATAGTCCGAGCGCCAAATGATCCACCGCTGAAAGACGTATGTTCAAGTTCTCCCTGCAAAAACGGCGGAAAATGCATATCTCAACGAGAGGGCGTCCTGTGCTGTTACTGTAACCCAGCAACGCCTCCGGATTCCGGCCAGGCTTGTTATGGTACGTAGGCGTACACGTTGCTAATGGTTCACCAGCTATAATAGTAAGATACATGTAATTATGACATGTGTTTTTTTTATCACAAAAAATCTAAACAGTATTTTACCCTCATTAAAAATGGCCCATTAGTTTAACATTTCTTTCATAGGAACTGATCAGAAAGACAATACAAAAGAGTGGTGACTCTCGGACTCGCTTGAAAATAAAAAAATGGAAATGAATGGAAATTTCATTTTACATACAGGGTGAGTAAAAGACACCTGCAATAATGCAAAGAAGCCATTTTTTTTGAACTTTGAACTTTTGTAACCTTGTAAGAATGGCATTCGTTAGTAGGCCCTAACCATTGTGTGACAAAAAAAAGACATCCTCAAAACAGGACATTTTTTTGGCAAGACCTGCACTTGAATCACTGGTCATGTGACGAGTAGTCCAAAGGGAATATCCTTGATATGTTCTACCAATGACTTGAACTTGTTAGGCACAGGAGCTTTCGGACAGAAACGTAGAGGATTGTTAACCGCTTTGACACTTTCGTACGTGAATCTTTGATACTTAGACCCTGCGATAATAAATGTCTCGTCCAGAACACCCTGTGCTGCAGATGACGGTGCACCACCAACGATAGATAGTTGCAACGATGTGAGGACGAATAAAGATGTAGTGAGCGATATCATCTCAGACCTTGACGTCACAGCTACCGATAACGTTATGAACTCCTTGCCCATACATTGCATAGAGACTAGTGGTGCATTACATCTTACAAGCAACGAGACCACTTTCAACTGCACAGCAACTGATACGGCTGGAGGAGAGACTACCTGTACATTCAACGTTTTCTTTGGTACGTATTACAAGAACATTTTACAAAAATCACTGACAACCGCTTCACTTAATTAGTATCCATCAATTAAATTAATTACCATTGTACTTGATAATGAAAAGGAGCGGGACACTTTATCTTTTTTCTCTTTCCTTTTTTTATTCAACAATAACGAAAACAATCAAGATCAACAAGCACCTGTGATCGACAATTGTCCTTCGAATGTAAGGACCAACAACGCTGTGGTAACCTGGACACCAGATCCTACAGCAACTGACAATGATGGGACCACACCTGCAGTATCCTGCATTCCAGCCGCTGGCAGTTCATTTCCAGTCGATGCAACTACAATTGTTGTTTGTAACGCAATTGATGCTGCTGGAAATGAGGCCATCTGCACTTTTAATGTCGCTGTAGGTAGGTGTATAAATTCAAGCATTACTTTATTGAACTTTATGCATCGTTTGTAGCTGCGAACAATTAGTATGACAAAGTGAAGGAACCACGTGGAACAGTTAACCTCATAAGCCTTTAATTGCTTTTGAATAATATCCTTCATTAATAATTATCACCTTGATTTTTAATCGAAAGATTTTTGTCTCCATATTTCAGTGTGATTCACGGAAATAGCACAATATACCTCAATGGGATTCATGCATTAAGACGAGGCCCAGTGATCGTCTTTTTTGTTCTGTTAAATACAGCGGAGTCGATCACATGCCCTACCGACTATTGCCAAAATGGCGGGGAATGTCTGCGGGAAGGAGCAGTGCCAAGGGTCCAGTTCTCCTGCAAGTAGGTTCACATTTTATTGCTTCTTCAGCAGTGACAATCACAGTGATAGCAATGGCAATGACAGTCATGAAAGCTTACGGCAACGAAAATAGAGGTTGTTTTTCTTAGGCCGATTTATTTTCGATAGTCTTCTTGTGTGTGTGTGTTTTTATAACACATGTGTAACTTCTGGCAACTTTCAGAAACCTTCTTCAACTTGTCATTGGTGCATTAGTGTTGTATGCATGTACTTAAACTAACACGATTCTACCACGGCCCTCGCACATGTTCATTGTGTTAAAAAGGCATATCATGTTTTGCAGTATGACGTCAAAAACCTTTCTATTGTTTTCTTACTAAAGTTGTTCTGCTGGATTCACCGGTGACGTTTGCCAGACATCAATAAAAGGTACTTTTTTTAAATTAAAAAATCGTGGATGACATTCCAAAAACCTGGCTCTCTGTCTTTTGATTTTGTTTTTAAGTATGTATGGAGAATTTAAGAGCAACGATGTTCCTCTTTGTAAAAACGTTATTTTACCATAGAATAATTAATAGGCCAGAGACATACTGTACAATGGCCAAATAAATGTTTTGTACATGGATTTACGTATGTTGGTGGTCACCACATCATGAAAAATATAATAATTAAATACGCATAATACACCAACATCGAAGTAAAATAGGAAAAGTTAACAGATGATCAGGAAATCCGACAGGTTTTCAATTTTTATTTCGAATATTTAATTTTTTTTTGGATCAAATTTAAACACTACTTACTTAGCTAATCAACATTTTGCAAATGAACCTAAACACGTCCTTACAGTGGAAGGTAGTAAACAAATAATCCATTGAAACAAACAAAATTCGCTTTGAAAGTTATTTGGTCCCGTGTTCAAAAATCTTACAGCAAAGTTCTGTTTCCGTCGTAGGTACTCCCCTTGCCGCCATTCTGATCCCGGTAATAGCTCTCGTCTGCCTACTTGTGATAATTGGGGTCTGCACGGTGTACAGACACTCGAAGCAACCCGCGGCACCCCCGGAACTAAACCTGAAGGAGTATGAGTAGGGGAGCGTCTGTACCGCCCATATCACGGCAGGTCTACCAGTGTTGGAGTCAAGACCTCAAAGTCCGAGACCGAGACCGAGACCGAGACCGAGACCTCATAGTCCGAGACCGAGACCTCATAGTCCGAGACCGAGACCAAGACCGAGACTTCCCCATCCGAGACCGAGACCGAGACCGAGACCTCATAGTCCGAGACCGAGACCGAGACCTCATTTAAAAAAAAAAATGCTGCTATGTGCACCAGGTGTAATAAAACTGGTGATGGTATGCTGCTGACTGTCTGCCTGAGTCTTGTTTTGTATGTATGCATTGTGTCTGCAAATGAGTCAATTAATAAAGTTATAGTTATTTGCAGTAAGGAAAATCATATTAACATGAAACATATTAAATTGAAATAATTTGATGGAGAAAAAATAAATCAAAATAAAAAAATACTTGTTTTCAAAAAATGTCCCCATTATCCATTTAAATTAACCAGTCAATATGAAAACAATTTAAGCAAACTTGGGTGGACAACTGGTGGACATAAACTATTTTTGAGAAAAAAAAATAAGTAAATAAATGACGTGTTAGGGCGCACTCAATCCAAGATGGTGGCGCCCATGTTCCGTGAAAACTTTGAGGACCAAAACAAAACCTTACTATCACTCGGCTTCAATCCTACTCAAGTCAAAGCTTGCTGATAATTTGATTACTTTTTAATATGAAAATAACTATTATTAGTTGCAGCAATTATACTCTGTTTCATCAACTTCAACATATCTGAACTGGTAAATTGTCAAACAACACGTAAGAAAAAAGTTCAACATGGCGAACTTGGCCCTCAGCCCAGCAACACACGGTGCAACATACCTCATCCTGGCCCTACATCTGTAAGGTTTTCCCTTGTTTAACGTTAATTCAAATTGACGGAGATGTTGGTTCAATTATTTTGGGGCTAATATTATTGGGCCTAATAAATGGTTTAAATAGGGTGATAGGTACTTTCTTTACTTTGTGGACACGGCTCACGTGCCTGATGAAGGCCGAACTCATCCCTGCCTGGTCGGTAATACGCTTCTGACTAAAACAAAATCTGCAAGGTATAGCTGATTGCTTTCTTTTCCCTGATGTTTTGTCCACAAACTCTTTATGCTCCTTAAAAGCAAATTTTATGATTAACGAGTTGCTTGACATAATTTTCAATTCGACAAGACAGCACTTTATATAAATGATTAATCATCAACTCAAAATAATTTCTGAAATATTTAACGTTACACCGTTATACTACGAGCGAGAACCTCTCAGCATGGATGTTTACATGCAGTCACGGTGACTACACACATCTGCCGTGCGTGCAGTGTGCAATGTATTTTTCATGCAAGTCCAGTTGTCACCATCAGTCAATGCACGCACGTGACGGACGTCACGACACGCGGTTTGTTAACAGATTTTGACAAACAGTCCATGCTACTGACTGAGCGGCGATATGCTAGCGATAAGCATGCTCTAGTTGCGGAAATTCTTTTGACATGCACTATGCGTTATCATAGATTTGCCCAGGTGATTCAGTGTCGACTCCATAAGCGGTTAATCGAATAATTGTCTTCAAACACTCATTTAACGGGTCTCGTCAAGGTCTTGATCCGAGACCCTTGTCCGAGACCGAGACATTTGGAGTCGAGACAGAGACCACAACATTCCGAGACTTCAAAATCGTCGAGAACTTAAAAAAATGGTCTCGAGACTAGTCTCGAGACCAAGACTTTGGTCGAGACCTCCAACACTGAGGTCTACTGACGAGTCACGGTTCTCTCATCTCGGCGGACGACTGGCGGTCAATTATCTCGCTTACATCAATCGACAGGAGAATTTTTAAGCGCGTGTTCCCATCCAAACAATGTTCTCTTATGCTATGTCACAGGAGAGATTAGTAGAATCCACTGAATTATTGGCAGAGGGTTTGACATGGGCGTCGCCAGGATTTTTTTCTAGAGGGGGGCCAAATTGTTTTTGCCAAAAATTGCTTGTATTTCTCAACACATTCTCGATTTATCAGTTTTAGAGGGGGCAGGGACATTTTGCCCCCCCCCCAACTCATTAAATTTATACCACTTTGTCTTTGCGCCTCTTTTTTTTTTTTTTTTTTTTTTTCTTCCTTTTTTTTTTTGCTTTTCCAGGGCAAGTGCCCCCCTTGCCCCCCCCCCTCGCGACGCCCATGGGGTTTGAGGTTTGCCGATGGCCAAAGAGAAATGTAGGGTCTATATGTTTGTATATACCTAAACTAAGGTACCACTTACAATACCCAATTTCTTTCTCCTATCAACTTAATTGTTAAAAACACATTTACGGTTAAACCAAAAGGTTACCAGATTTCAAAAGAGATTCTTTACAAAATCATGAAATCAGGAAACATCTTAAAAAATCACACCCCTGTGATGTAAATATGGAAGAAAGAGACAGGGAAAGCGCGCCTTTTTTTTAAAGTATGAATTTTTGGGTTTTGGGATCGCTGCGTGAAAGATATCTCGTTATCTCGAATGTTCTTAAATTTGGATTGTGGTAATAGATCTACCGAAGGTTCACTTAAACGGGGCGTTATTGGATATGCACTATTAACCTTTTTATAAATTTTACGCTGAAACTGTATATCGCTTTATTATGATAGGTGAACTTTTATAGGAGAGATTGATCTTCCATTCCTTTTTATGGATTTATTTCATTATAATGAAACCAATAACAAAGCTTCTATGAAAATCATGTATGGCAAAGCAACTTTTGCTCACATTTATTTTAACTGTTGTTTAACGTTGAAATCACCAACTGCAGGCTAAACGCCTGCCATAGAAATATTGAATTATAATTTTGCCGTCATTTGAGGTTCATTTGCTTAAAAAAAGTTCCGACTGCTTTTGGCCGGGAACACATACATATTTCCTCAATTCATGTTTGTTATTGACTCCATTTTTTTTTCTCGGAATAATTATAATAAAATTATAACGATGAATATATATCGAGCCATTAAAATATGTCACATCGAGCACTTAAAATATGTCACATTATTATGTAGGCCATTAGTTTTATCATTTTTACGTAATATACTAATGACCATGAAATGTACAAATGGGAAAATTAATTTTTTTCATATTTTGTGTAAATGTTTTAAGCATACTTTTACGTTAACATGTTTTACATTTATTTGTTTTTGTTCTTGGGCCCATGTAGTTTACTGAAATTTATATGCATGTAATTGTATTACTTCTACATCTGGTAATTTAATGTTCTTGTGATTTTAATGTATTGTAAATTTTTTGAATATTTTTATATAAAATTTGCGCTTGAAATTACGAATTCCCTATTAGGGAGACACTTTTTGCTTTGCTTTTCTATATGAGGGCGACGCTCCTGATTAGGGCGACAATTTGGTGTTTTTCTATATAACTACCATTTGGAGAAGGAATTTTACCGCCGCAAATAGGCTAGATCGATTGCTCGTGGTCCAAAACATAAATCTACCGGAATTCGTGGAGTAAGATAAGGTAAAATTGGGGTTAGGTGACATTAAAGATGGAAAAATGTTGTGCACAAGTCTATGGAAGTGTCGCCCTTTTACAGCATTAGTAGTGATTATATTCTCATTGATAAAACTGTATTTTAGTATATAGTAAACATACTACCAGGGTGATGGGTGTTCTTAAATAGTAAAGTTTATATTAGTCACGTACTTGGAAGCAAACTGATAGAATTATATTTTGTAGAAATAAACCAGAGTCTATATAGTAAATGTTTTGCATCTGAACCCAGTGGCGTAGCCAGGAATTTTTCAGGGGGGGGGGGGGGGGAGGGGGGGGGAGCTGGAACATTATAAGGGGGGGGGGTCATGTGTAGATCAATGATAATTGTTTTAGAAACTCAAAATCTCAGTGGGGGGGGGGGGGGGGGCCACTGGGGGGGGGGGGCGACAAGGTTTCATGGGGGGGGGGGCTGTCGCCCCCCACGCCCCCCCCCCCACCGTGGCTACGCCACTGTCTGAACCCCAAACGTATAATTTCATCGCTGAATATTTGACCACCATCCCAACGCCATGCTAATTCGCCACAAAATCCATCAGGCCTACAGTTGAAATTGGAGGCACACTATAGCAAAGCCAATTAAACACGTGTAACGCGTCCTTTAATTAGTCCAAAATTATCTTCAACCGCGATGTGTTTGGGGAATATCAAAATATAATCGCATGTTTCGCAAATGCATTTCTAATAATATTTGTACTTATACATTATACAATTTTTTTAGCAGAGGTCGACGTGACCTCTGCTAAAAAAATTAGCAAAAATGACCTCTGCTAAAAAAATGTATCCAATCCAATCCAATCCAATCCAATCCAAATTTATCCAATCCAATCCAATCCAAATTTATCCAATCCAATCCAATCCAATCCAAATTTATCCAATCCAATCCAATCCAATCCAAATTTATCCAATCCAATCCAATCCAAATTTATCCAATCCAATCCAATCCAAATTTATCCAATCCACTGCAATCCAATCCAATCCAAATTTATCCAATACAATCCAATCCAAATTTATCCAATATCCAATCCAATCCAATCCAAATTTATTCAATCCAATCCAATCCAATCCAATCCAAATTTATCCAATCCAATCCAATCCAAATTTATCCAATCCAATCCAATCCAATCCAAATTTATCCAATCCAATCCACTGAATCCAATCCAAATTTATCCAATCCAATCCAATCCAAATTTATCCAATCCAATCCAATCCAATCCAAATTTATCCAATCCAATCCAATCCACTGCAATCCAATCCAATCCAAATTTATCCAATCCAATCCAATCCAATCCAAATTTATCCAATCCAATCCACTGAATCCAATCCAAATTTATCCAATACAATCCAATCCAAATGTATCCAATATCCAATCCAATCCAATCCAAATTTATCCAATCCAATCCAATCCAATCCAATCCAAATTTATCCAATCCAATCCAATCCAAATTTATCCAATATTGTTCACAGAGGTTAAATGGCAAGCATTAATAAGGTAAAAGTACTAGTATTTTACTGCATGAATTTGAGGTTTGTCAACAAAGAGGTTTGGC